TGACGGTTTCTTTTAAAAATAGAATAAATTATGCTTCTTTTTTAATGCAGAAATGTCGAAATCGAATTACGCTACTTGAGCACACGTTGAAAAGTCCTCTCGTACTGAACCAACTCACTCATTCCAAGTTAACAGGGAATGGCTATAAATACCAAACTAACAATTGCACTTAAAACAGATGTTCCATTTCAAAAGTGCTATACCAATACAGTGCTTTTGTAGATCTCCGACAGATATTTGAACTCTGCCAAACTGTTCGTCGTGCTGTTCTGTGATTGACTGGACTGGGATTGACAGTTTGATGTCCTTTAGGGTGATAAGAACTACGTCAGGGCTTTGTTCATCTTGAAATAAAGGATGCTAAACGTCATTACTTTGTCATTTTGCGACTCGCGTTCGACACCCCTGTTCTCTGTTGGTTTTTTTGTCTCGCTGGTTCTTGTCAAGAAAACTATTTCTTAAGTAATAATTTGACGCAATATTTGTAATTACAACTTGAAGCGAAAAAGGTCTTCAGCTTTCATTTCAGTACACCTTTCGTCTCTGTGAATTTCAAGAGATATACAACAACGCTGAGCTGAGATTAGTCGAGAACAAATAGAATGGCGAACGTCACAGCCAAAGAAGAAGTTAACACAATCAAAACAGAAGTACTACACTTCATAAGCAGTGCTCCGGATGGCTTATCTATTTTTCTCGCAGCCCTAAACATAATTCTCGCCATCATCGGATCTTTGGGCAATGCTCTTCTCCTCATTGCTTTGCATAAAGTAACGTCTATTCATCCTCCAACAAAATTTTTCTTCCGAAGTTTGGCGATCACTGATCTTTTCGCTGGTCTCATCATACAACCAATGTACTCAATAACACTTATACCAGGGATAAACCACAACAGATTTGTGTACTACAGCATCCAGGTAACTGGTATTTCTGGCTCAATTGTGTGCACTGTATCTATTTTGATGTCAACTGCAATCAGCGTGGATAGGCTTTTGGCGCTGCTATTGGGGCTGAGATTCAAACAGCTTGTAACATTAAAGCGCGTACGAGCGGTGGTGAGCTGTATTTGGTTACTGAGCTGTGCAATGGGCGGATGGAGATATAGTAATTGGGGCGCTGAGGCTTCGAAATTCACGTTGTTTGTTTTGATGCTTCTGTCGCTGATAATTTCCATCTGCTCGTACACAAAGATCTATCTCTATCTACATAATAAACGGGTTCAACTACATGCCAAAGAACAACGGGAGATCCCTCAAGAGCAACCGTCAAACGGGGGAGAAGATCGACTGAATATAGAAAGGTATAAGAGGTCGGTTTCTGGTATAGCATGGGTACAGTTGGCTTTACTTCTGTGTTTTATTCCCTTTACTATTGGAAGTATGCTATTCACTCACAGAAAACTGACCGGTGTGGCCTCTGGAATAGCACATTTTTGCGTATCAATCCCATATGTGTTGTTTAACCCAGCTCTGAACCCCATTCTTTACTGCTGGAAGATCAGAGAAGTCAAACAAGCAATGAAGGAGACTATCAAAAAACTAATTTGCTGTATTAAGCCTAACTAGTTTTTTTCTTCTTTTTTTTTTTATATATACGGTCAGCAACTTCGATATCACCTCACCTTTAGCTCTGACTTGGCATGGCGTCTTTCAAATATCTTTGGCACCATAAGGCGATTTTAATCCAAGTTTTAAAGTTATTTAGGACAAATATAAAATTTAAAGTCCGTTTTCCAACGTTACATGAAAACGAATAAAAATATATAAACCAAATTCACAACCGTTTTCAATGGCGAAGAAATCTACAGAAAATCAAAATTTTAAAGCATATACTCGAATTCAAAATTCGAGTCTAAATAAACAGTTGAAAATGGAAATGTTTTGATGAGAAAAAAAACTCAAATTATCAGGGACATAATGCAAATAGTAATTTGTATGTTCTCTTCTCTTAAATCTCTGTCGAGTCTTTAAAACACTTTTTCGGGAAAAAAGACATCTAATTCACAGGGAGCTTAGAGTAAAAAGTAATTTCCATCAGTTTTTTGTACAGTTTAGGTAAATATTTGTAGAATGGATGTTTCAAAGGCAAAATGAATCTCTTAAACCAGATGATAAAAGCCTGCTAATTTCGCGATGCATGAAGTGTCTTTAAATGTAATTGAAATAAAAAACTTTAATTTGTTTACCAGTACGTGTATTTTAAAGCATTTTCAGTGAGAGAAAATTATTTGAAAGCGGTGTTAACCATTGACATGGAAATATGAAATTCAATCTTTAATTAACCTCTGGCAGTGCTGATTTCAAGAAATTGATTTTTGGATTCCGTTTTACAACGCCGACGATAAACAGAAAATAACAGTGACTCATCAGAAAAAACCTTTCACCAAATCGCCGGGTGACAACGATAACACCGAATATTCATCGACACAGGAAGTTTGAAACAGCAGCTGAATAACCATCCCCTATTTTCTTAAAAACGTTTGCAAGGCTGGGGGTGTATAAAACGTTACGAGAGAGGATTACATCTCTATCATAAAAGCGTCTGTAAACGAAATAATTTCCACCTGCGTCTACCTCGGTAATATACGCTCCATCGGCTTTCAGATAGCGAGGGAAAGATGTCACCTCGCAACTAAATCAATTTCGATCGCCTTTTACAGGAGTTTTGTTTTTTAAGTTTTGCATGCAAAGTTTGCGTGAACAATTGAAGTAAAACAGGGATGCGAAATCTAAAGAGCAGAGAATAGGGAAGAAAAGACTTTGAAGATGCAAATGGGTGTATCAGACTCTGATCGGATCTTCCGATTAGCTTTAATTAACTTAACATGAATGGCTTTCATTGAGATCTTTTTCC